ATTGATTATTATAATAAGAAAATAAAAAATGGCAAAGTTTTTTTTTTCAATAAATTTTTATAGTTACCCTTATTATATTAATATGATTTTATTTTTTTAAACATTTGCCATTGTATCAATAATTTGCTTCCCAAAATGTATGCACCTAGCATAAAGTTTATATATTCATTTACAATTTTGTTTTCCGTTCCTATCATCTGATAACATACGTCTACAACTGATCATTTGGTTGATGTATTCAATATTCAATACTTTTTACCTTGTTCCTTCCGAAGATTAAAAAGATCAATTCTAAAACCATTTTCCAAGAATTATTTCTTGTTAATAAGAATCAAGTTGGAATTTTTTATGCAAAAAAATTTTTCTGACCTTAACAGGTTTACCAAGTTCATTTTCTGTCTAACCATACAATTAAATTGTTATTGTGATCGGCAAGATTGATGTTAATATTAAGTTTTTTTTGGGTTATATACAAAATAAATTTTTACGGTAAATTTATATATAACAAGTTTATTTACGAGTTTGTTGTGGAAACAAAACTAACGATTTATATATTTACGCGTCTTTGTAAATCATAACCTCGTTTCAATGAAACTACTATTACTATGTGGGCACATAAGAACATTGCATATATTAAAAACTCGTTGTAACATGAATTTAATCATTATAAAAAAGAGGCATTATTTGTAAAAAGAAAAAAGAAAAATGTACGATTCAAAAATCAACTACGCGCAGCACAAGAAATAAACTATTATTACTATAGTGAACAAGTCACTTGGTCACCGAACTTTCTGCGCCAGAACACAGATTTGATAATGTCGAATTTGTGATCGCGTGATTTAAAATTCGAGAATGCGACCATTTCTTTGTTTTACTTAAATAATAATTTTAAAAAAATAGTCACGTGATCATAAAAACCAATAAATTAATTGTAATTCAAATTTTTTTTTTGATTTATGAAATTTATGGAACAAGAGCTCTCTGGAATAAAAGTGTCAATTTCACTAAAAATCCATCCGCACCTCCCATGCAACCAGTGGATGTTTCTTTCGAAAATTAAAAGCATTTTCATCATCAACTAGAAAAAAAAATGTGTCAATTCTTCCGATTCGTAATATAAAAATTTTTGCCAATTTTGGGTTTAACATATATATAACAACAAAAATGAAAATCATACATTTTGAGAATTAAAGGATCTACGTAGCCAAAGTATAGTGTTAACTATTATGATTTTGGTCTGGGGTCTAATGATTATTTGCTAATTCATTTTGGATCACTTCGATTGCTGTAAAAGCACGTGATATTTTTTTTGGATTCTTCAGCTTGGAAACTTAAAAGAATATATAAATAAATTTATATTATTGGAATTAAAATTTATTACAATCAATTATTGAAAGAATTATACAGTGATTGTATTTAAGTCCATCTTTAACTTCAATATATATCTTATAATTAAAATTCCGAAAATCAGATTGTCACAAATTATCACTATTTTCGAAACAAACCTATTTCTCCATCGTGTATGAATTTGATAAGATGCGTCTCCGTAATCTCCGCAATCTTTGAATTCCGAGCGGGTTTGTGTTACATCTCCACAACACTGGGGCAACGAACCTCATCATATACCATATGATATACTAACTAAATACGTTAAATGTTTTACGAAAATCAAATTTCGGACATTGTGCTCCATATAAGGATTATAAATGAAGTTACCCGACAAACAAAGAATTTTAGTGCATATTATGAAATAAGTAAATTCTACTGGACAATGTATGCTTACTAATAATAACAGTAATGGTTATTGTCACAAATAAAATTTCGAACCCTAAAATTTTTCTTTATATAAAAATTAATTATATTGAAAAAATGCTTTTCGACAAAATGTATGTATACATACAATGATATCAATCAAATATATCAAATAGAAAAGACAGTTATTTTGAAAGGGTCTTTTGACACTATTAAAGTATTCCAAGCTATATTGAACAATATGAAAAATGGAAGAGATTGCTTTTATTCTAGAAAATGCAATAAGGAATAAATAAGAAATAATAAGGATAAGGAAAAGGATACGCTATTAATATTCTAATAAAAATTTCAGCTGCACCAAAGTACTCACACTATTTTATTGATTGAAGATTTTTATTTAGATAGAAAATATGAATGGGATTAAAACAATCGACTGCACGGATGCTTAACAGTTAGGAAGTTGAAATGAACGAATATAAGATATAAAATGAATCTATTCACAGAAGGAAAGCACGGTAGGACACAATGTCAACTATTCCTATTGTTCTTCTCATTATAATATATTGTCATTGTTGTTGTTGTTGTTGTTGTTGTTGTTGTTGTTATTGTTGTTGTTGTTGTTGTTATTGTTGTTGTTGTTATTATTATTATTATTATTGTCATTGTTGCTGTTGTTGTTGTTATTATTATTATCATTACTATCATCATCATTGTTATTATTTGAAGGTGTTGGTGTTGTTGCTGTTGTCGCCGCTGTTGATGCAGCTGCAGCTGTAGCTGACAATAATATTTTAGAAGATGTTGAATAACTGTGATGTGGTGTTACTGCTAAAGGAGGTCGTGTGGGAACTGCAGTGGATATAGAAGCAGCTCTTTTTTTTGTTGTTGACATAGACGATGAATCAGCGCCGAAAGTAGGAGATGGTGTAGTAAGAGTATTATGATGCGCGGCAGGTTTTGTGTCGGTTGAAGATTTTTCTGTAATATTGTTATTTTCTACTGTGTTCGATGATAAAGATTTATTTGAATCATCTTGCTTTACAACATCTTCTTCATTTTTAATACTATTCTCATCTTTTTGTTCTTTATGAGATATGGTAGAAGCTGATGTTGTTGTTAATGTTGAAGAAGAAGAGGAAGAAGTAGTAGTAGTAGCAGTAGAAATAGTAGAAAGATCGTTGGAAGTACGGAATGCGTAACGTTTTGCTGACTCAAATACGTTAATCCATTCTTTTAGTTCCTCTTCTGTTTCAGCTTGTAGTAACCACGTGGTTCTTGATATTTTCAAAAATGAAAGGTTTAGTATATGCATGATAATATTTATTTTGAAGATTTGATGGGTTAATTATAAATGTAAAACTTACTGTTTAGCACCATAGACAATTTCAAAGCAGAACCTTCTATCCTGAGAAGTATCTATTCTAGTTTCACATAAGAGTACATCAATCTTCTCACTTTCTCCCACCGAGATGCTTCGATGTTTACCGTGTACAATCGAAGACCACCAAATCATACCATCTTTCAAATACAAATATTTTCTGGTCCATGTATTCTTCCCTGAAGGAGTTCTCATGAAAAGATAGCCTTGTTTTGATGGCATTATTGAGGGAGAAGGAAGATCTATTGAAGGAGGACGATTTGGCTGTATTGATGTCTCATTAATTTGTTGATTATTCATTAATGTGAAATTACTACTGTCTGTGTATTTTGTTAATTTTCTCTGTGGTTTATTAATATTTATTGCATCCTAAATATATAAATCAAATATATATATATATATTTATTAGAAATGAAGTGACGTACGAAGCAAGATAAAAATAAAATATTAAATGGGTATACAAACTTCTTCTACTTTCTTTCTTTGATTTAAAAGGCGCGGCATTTGTTGCTCGCATGCTTTTTTGTTCTTATAATTAAAACCATTATTAATATTATTATTCTAAATAATAGTTATTATATAACAACAACAAATAGTGGATTTACCTCCCATAGCCAACCCTTCAATCTTTCTGATCGGTTCTCGGTACTTTTGTAAACAGTTAAGCTAGCTTCATGAAATTCTAAATGAGCAGAAGTTCCATTCAAATACTAAAAAATAGTAATTTAAACAATCATTAAATTAACAAATCGACTAAAAACCTAGTAATTATTAAAAGAATAATAGCAGCAGTAATGGTAATGATGGTAATGGCGACAATAACCTGTTCCATTAATAAATGATCCAGAGTTGTTCTGAAATGTATTGCTTTCAAGGTATAATCTAATAATACCCTTATGTAAGTTTTTCTGACTTCAAATAATTGAAAAGCATCCTAAAAATTAAAAATTAAAAAAATTAAATCTCAAATATTTATTATATCTATAATTTAAGATTAATGTAGAGAAACGGATACAAACTTCACGTAATGCACTTGCTTCTTTATTTTTAGATTGAGATGTGTATTTTGCCAACATTGATTCATAACGTTCAAGTGCACGATCATAATTTCTACGTGCGTCCTAATTAAAATACAATTTAATATTATTTTTTTTTTACTGATAAAATATACCATTATCATTAATAATGTTATTGCAATAATCATATACTTTAAAATCTTTAAGATCAGTTTTTGTAAAATGCAATAAAGGCTGTATAAGTTTTTCATCAATATCATTAACCTAAAGATTATTATTATTATTCTTTGTTAGTTAGTAATAATAATAATAATAATTAATATAAGAATATATTAATTAATTAAATATTATTAGCATAGTTACTAATTTTTGTTTAAATGCTAAGGTTGTTTGAAATGTATCTGCAAAGATTCTAGCTGCAGGAAGTGTGAAATCGTGATCTAATGATATTGAAGGGATGGAAACGATCCAAAATCAATTGATTGCATCGATAATAATATTGTTATTACAGATCATAATTGTACATACATACCTAATAATGCATCTTCTGATGAAGAAGGTATTGAACGTTTGGCCAAAACATTACTCGCCTCAATAAATTCTTTAAAAATTTAAAGATAAGGATTTTACTGATTGCTTTTGTCAAGTATTTTTATGGAATTGGAGAACATTAAAAAACAAATCACTTACTGATAGACTCTTCTATAAAATGTTTTAATGATTTTAAATAAAGTTCTAACCATTTTTCAAAATGATCAACCTGTTCCTCAAACCTTCTAACATTTACACGAAATTTGGGTGTGTCGTTAATGGCTTCATCGAGATTAAGGTTAATAAAAATAGTTTCTGTTGGTAAAGGTGGATTTACATGTATTTCCATTTTTCAATTAACTAAAATTTTAAACTAAAATGTATTGATTTTTATTATTTTTATTATATATAATTTCAAAAAAAAAATCATACATGCAAAGGATAAATTTTTTGGATAGAAAAAACGATAATTATTTTAGAATTCCCTTCTTTTTGACCTCTTTTGGAGATTCGCAATTTCTCTATAAACATTATCCGTAAATACTTTAATTATTATTATTATTATGCGCTAATTTAACCGTAAGTTGCACGAACGACTGTAATATTAGTACACAATGTATGTATTATATACTATAATGCTATACTGTGAATAATAATAATTATTATAGCAATTTCTATTAATATTAAAGATGATGCAAAAAAGAATGTCCCTCTTGTAACAAACAACAAAAAAATTTCGTGTTCTCAAGCATGTGATCCATAATCATTAACTCGAGGATGGACCCGTGATAATGAATCAATCAATAGATAAAAGTGGGATAAGATTAAAGAAATTAATTTCAAAAAGAATTTAAAAATGAAATTATATTAACGGATAACTTGATTGATGTGGGAAGTAAATAAATAATAAATCTTGCAATACTTGTCATTATAATTTATAGCTTGATAAATGGGCATTTGGGTGAATTATAGTAATTGGGATTAACATCATCAATTTTCCATTTCATTGAAAACCTTTCTAATTGATCAAGTTGCTCTTCAGAATAATAGCGTTATTTATTTCAGATATCAAATATTCATTTAGCGGTGGACGTTTATTTGGATTAGCATCCATACACCCATATTAATATGCCAATTCAAATATAAAAACTCGGTGCATTCTTGGAAAGTCCTGGTCTTACTCTCCTATAAATAGCTCATTGTATGAGTTCTAATCCTGGTGCAGTACAGGCATCTTTCGTAATCCATTCCACTATTAAGAGATCCTGATGCTTGATTTTTGCTTATATATTTTTTTTAAATCATCAACATTGTAAATAAGTTCTATTTATTTTTTTACTCGGATCATTAATATTTCTCTATTTTTTCTTTACCAAAGGCCCAAAATGGTACATTCATAAGGTAATCATCATAACCGTTATTGGTCTCAGTAGATGGAATTATCTTCCAATCCAATCATGTAGTACTGACTACTGCATCTTTTACACGTGGAGTAAATAAGGCATAAACTCTAGGATTGTGACAATCAGTGTGTTCTAACGTTCCATTCTTTTTAATTGATTTAGCAGAAGTAAAAGGAGTCTATAGAGGTTCCGTATTCCGTACATCTGCGCCTCTGTAGTAAAAAATGCTCTGTATGAAACAAAAATATGGAATCGAAGATCGTACAGACTGGCCCCACCAATCAACTTTTCTATTTTAATTTCGGAATTCACAAATTCGGTCTAAAGACCTCGCAAATTTTAAAAGTATAGAAGTCATTTTCTGTCCTACATTTTAAAAAATAGCCTTATTAATTGGTAAAATAGGTTTCTACTTTTAATGTAATGAAGAGATTTTCTCCAAAAAATTATTTATTATAGAGTTCTATTCTTTTTTAAAACATGTACTTTACTATTAACCAAAATCACGTGTAACCATTTTTTTAAAAAAATTTTGCATTTTTGAAATTTGAGCACGTGGCGCAGCAACAGGAGGTCTTTAGACCGAGCCAACCATACTAATTCTATTCTGCCTTGTGTTAATAAATCAGTAAAGGTCATTTTAACTTTTTAATATTTATTTTTTAAAATAAGTAATAAAGTCTTTGTTTTCTGCGCACCCGCACAAAATAAGTTTAAAAAATCTAGTATAATTTTATAAGCACACGAAGCTTA